TTCAATAAACATTGCAAAAAGTGAGACATTTTGCAACGTTCAAAAAAGCGTTGTAAAAGTAGACTTTTCGCAATGTTTGACAAATGCTGCAAAATTGTTTTCTTTTTGCAACGTTTGATAAACGTTGCGAAAAATAAAATCTTCCACAACAATCAATAAATGTTGCAAAATGGGGTTTATTGCAATATTCTTCTAAAAAACGTTGTCAAAACTCATTTATATTAACTAATGACAACAATCACTTATTAAAATGTTGCGATAGACCCATTTAGCAACATTTTATTAGTGAGTGTTGCCTTTTTAGTGTTGCAAATGATTATTTTTGGTGTAGTGCTATTTTAAAACATGTATAAATAAAATTAGCTCAATATTTGTTCATTTCTTATAAAAATATTCAAAAAAATTGAAAAAAAATAAATATGATATTCAACAAGTTATAATACGATAACTTATGTTAACATGTTGCAACACTATTTCCTAAGAAATGCAAAATATACATTGAGCTGTCATAGACATCTATTACGAGCAATATTTGATGACCCTTAAAAATATTGATAAAATATTTATTAATCTAGCAAAACAATAAAGTGAATTTCAATAGGTTTGGATACACTTTGCCAGGATTAAATGGAAGGAGTTCCAAGTGATGAGTAACTAGCTACAATAATATTAAGGCCAGCTCTATTGCTAGTTGATAAATATTTGATAAGAGAAAATGAGAAAAATTCTATAGTTTTTAAAATAAGAGAAGGTATCTTTGTATATGTCATAAATGTTGTAAGAGATTTGTGTATTTAACGAACAATTATAAGAAAGGAAAAAGAAAACCTGACAAAATGGATATTTATTTATATAGGTGAAAATAGGCCAAAAAAGAATACAATGTTTGCCGAAATGTTGAAACATCGGATCTGAGCAAGCCAATGCTATTTGAAAATGGGAAAAATTCATGGATCAGGTATTAACTTTGCCAGAATCAAAAATCAGATGCTAAGTTTCAAAATTACAAAAATCAGATTTTTATTAATTAATTAAATATTTAATTATAATATAATATAATTAACGTTAGGGGGACACAATCGAACTTGCAAAGAAGTTGGGAGAAATTTTACAATAAAAAATTTACGTCTAAAAAAATCATACCCCATGTAATTTTATATTCCAAAATTTACATGGGATATTACTTTTTCGGATGTAAAATTTTG